GCCTAAGCATGCTTATTTTTTTCGCAAGCATATGGAAACATTCATTTTTAAAACCAGGTTGCAAATTCTTGATGGGCGTCCAATTTATAATAGAATTTTCATGGGGTAACGTAAGGTTTAGTTTGTTCCTCATGAATAAATATGCTGAACGAGACTTTAGGTACAAATTAAGAGCCAGTTCTCTTGACGCTTCATCGTACTCCCTATTTCGAGATCCTACAAGCATCTTGGACAACGCTTTTGACTCGCGACTAATACTGTTATTAGCCTCAATTGCTTTAACAAGTGGATATTTATTTTTAACTCTTTGTTGCAATATTTTTATTTTCTTTTTTAAATTTGCATTTTCACAAGCGCTTCTGTAGAATTTCTTTCTATAAAATTCGGCGCATTTACTTTTTGCACAATTGCAACAGGATTTGGTCGTCTCAACACTTTCGTCGTAATTAGGAATTATTTGGGTTTGTGAAAAGTCATAGTCGTCCTCTTCATTTACCCCGTCTAAGAAATAAATCGGTACCGCTGCTCTTTTAAGAAATTTACTCCCAACATCTGAGGCAGGAAAATGCTTATCACAAATTTTCATTTTGTTTTGATACTTACTCAGAGGAATATTACATTTTTCTCGCCAAATTTGACCCAATGCGGTATCGTACGCCGGAAAAGAAAAAAATTTTACACCTTCGTCAAAACGGCGACTACGTTTGCAAGAAGAAATGCAGCAAATGTCTTTATTTTTCTTTGAAATTACGGACATAATTCTTTATTTAAAATAATTAGATATATTGAATTCAAATAACTAAATATAAATATTTATGCTAATATATATGAAAGTTTATTTAAATTTTAATAATAAGTTATATCAGAAAAAGAACACAACGAGATCGTAAGCACAAAACAATTGATTTACTATTTCGTTATTATTTAGTTATTGCATTTTCATATTTTGTATTATTACTCTTCTAAAAGAGTAATTAATACTTTATTCTCATTAATTCCCATAAAAGGCCGTGTACGAGTTGGAGTAAATTAACGTAAAGTAAACTGAAATTTCCTAGGGATTTTTTGCGCTGCACTTATTTTAAAAGTTTTCAAATTTATTTATTTTTTTATTATACATTTTATAAAAAGTTATCTTAAAGAAAGTAATACCTAATTTACCTAATTTACCCCACTCGAAATTCTGGTAAATACCAACATTCGCTGCCATACGGACATAATTTACTATTTTCCTCAATTTACCATCAATTACTTGAACTCGCACATGGTCAATTACATACAATTATCTTATTTTAGCTAATACTAATATAACATACATATAACTGTTATTATACCTGATTAAAACAAAAAATTGAAATTGGTTTCATTCGCTTTAAATGTTTCTAAAATAAGATCAAAAAATATTCATATTCTTCCAAATAAAAGTACATATGTTTATAAATATACATTTATACACATACATATATATATGTAGGTCAGTAAACTTCCAAACAAGTAGGGATGATTGTCTTATTTGCATTATGAAGTGATATTAAATGCATGCAATTTTACGTGCTGCTTGCTGGTGCCAAGCATTAATTGCAAAAACAAATAATTACACCAAAAACTAATTTGTCTCTTTTCTTGTACTGCCTGCCTTCGTAAACAAGCAAATCTGTTTTTTGTTTTCATTTTTGTCCTTCATTCATCAATAGTAAAATTTTAAGAAAGAACAAGCATAAGCGCGGCCGATCTAGCAGCAGCGCAAAAAGAAGTAATATCTTCACTCCGCCCTCCCGTGCCTGTTGCTGAAAATTTAAAAATTGAGTCATTGTGACTCTATAATATTTTTACTCAATGGTAAAAGTTAAGCTGATTTACTTACAAGCATTGAGTTTTTGATAGTTACACATCAACTTATATTTGTCAAAAAAGAAAGAGGGAGTAGTTGTAGTAGCAGTAGCAGTTGGGGAATAGAAGGTATGTCAAAAACTGCACGTGGACATCAGTACAACAAAGCCATTTACAAAAACAAAAAAAAACAGCGAAAAGCGAACAGAACAGTAAGAAGAATTAAAAACAATGTTTAATGCAAAATGAAAAAGAAAAAGAAAAAGAAAAGAATACATATAGCAGCTTTTCAGCTTATTGTTATGCAATGCGTGTTCACCGGTTATTGTGTGGTAGTAGGGGCATAAACCTTATGCCAATAGAAAAGGATATTGTTGCCCCAATATTGATAAAGATGTATATGAGAATACAACTACTACTGTTTCAAAAGTCACACGCACACACACACACACACACACACACACATGCATATACTGAAAGCGACGAATACACTTCAATACACATGATATATTTACACTCATGCACAAACAACAGCAGCACAACAGCACAACAACAAAATAAGCAGAAGACCAGAAGAGCAGAAGAGCAGTAACATTTACAACAAAATGAAATTATATTGAATTTTCGTACATCATTTGGCATGATGACATTGATTCCTATAGTGTTTCCTTGGCGTAAGTGGCTCGATTCTACAAAAATTCGATTCAAGTGCTTTTTGTTGTGCATAAATCAATTCTGCTCGTTTGCTAAATTGGTTGTCCTAACCTTGTTCCAACGCACAACAATATTGTCAACACAAATTTAATTTGCTATTTGTAGACAATTTAGGAAATGAATTTCGTCAAAGAAGCAGGGAAGAAGCAGGGAAGAGCTGAGCCAGCCTCTGGACGAATTCTAAGCAGTTCTTCTGCACACACTAGGTAAATTCCGTTTTATCATTTGTTATCAAATTAGTTTTTCGATATTAGTGGCAGCAATATTAGTTTTGCTTGCGATAAAAATAAATTTATGAAATTTAAAAATTAAATTACAATCTTGAAAGACCACAACTACTTTTGATTCTCATACACAAAAATTAATCAAAAAACCTTTAAAATATTGAAAATCTTTAAATAAACATTATTATTATTATTATTGTTCGGGGATGTGGCACTGCGACCGTTGGGTATATGGTGTCTCCTTCTGGGCTTAGAGTGTCTCTAAGGCCTATTGCGTCAATAAAAAGTAGTATAGAACATACTTCACAGAGTTTTATTGCCTCTTCCGTAAAAATATTTCCTAACCCTATTCCGTATGTGTGTATATTTATATTCCTCATTCTCTTCATTGAATCTACAGTTTGCATTCGTAAGTATACCCAGTCTTCAAGTTAACATAAAATAAAGAATATAGTTTGTGTAATAGTGAGTGCTAATATGGTAGACATTAGCTAACAAAAATCTTATGACCAGTAAGAACTTTAACATTATTTTTAATATGGGAATTCCACATTAATACAATATGGAAACTCAAACAGGTCTAGAGAGAAAAAAGTGGCTACAATCTTCTCGCATACTAGAAGTCTTCTTCAGTTCTTCACAATTAAAGAGTTTTAAGAAATTAACTCCTCGCCTAAAGGATCGCACAGTAGTATATTAATAATTTAATTATTCGTTTTGCACCCACATTACCAAATTATTACCTAGAGCGACTAATTCAGCCATGTATTTCAGGCATCTATTAAATAATGTTCTGATAAATTTAGAATGGTTTATGAATTTTATATAACAAATTATTATGTTTTAATTTACGTTTTTTTCAACTAGTAATAACTCTGAGTATTTGCAGTATGTTACTTAAAAGGAGATATCGGGTTCGAAATTTTGATATAATTATATTTTCCAATAGAGTAGTGATGTACCATATCTTGTTAGATCATTGGCTCAAATCTCATCTCCACTTAATCGTTTCTATAATTATGAATTGCCTCAATATGAGCACATCGTTGCTATTATGAAGGGATTATGAAGGGATTTCTATAAGTCATCAAAAGTTGTAGCTGAGAGCATCGAAACAATAGCGGTGCATATTCTTTTATCTGTTACCAAAAATATTATGTTATAATTTATTAATTTTAAATGACCAATTTAAATAGAAATAAAAAACCTATAATTTATATTTGAAAAAAAATTATATTTTATTAAAATATTTTTCCGATATTTGACTATCTTCAATAGTCATCTTCAGCAAAACTGTTTTAACGAATTAAGATCAAATTATTTATTTTTTTACCATTACTTTTCGTTTAGTAAAATTTATATGAAAATAATTCTTTTTGTAAATTAAGTTACCATCTTTCAATATTCGGTGGGATCCATTAATATATAATAGTAAAATTTTTAATTTTATGGAACACTGTCCAATTCTTCATGAAATTAAAAAACTTCTCTGGGGTAAAAGTGTGTGTGCTCCGTCCGTAGGATATGCCTTACTGAGTGGTGCAATCTAGAGTAAACAAGAAGTATTCTTAAAAAAAATTCTGCAGTATGAACTATGAACTAACACTCCAACGATATTTAAACAAGATATATATATATTATTTTTTAGGCATCATATATCGGTTAAAGAGTTCAAGTAGCAGAAATACATGCTCCTGCGTTAATTAATAACACAATTAATAACTTAATTAATAAATTAATTAATGGCTTAATTATGACAGAAAATTAGCTTAGTTGTTATTGTTTTATAGAGACTTAAGTTTCCATATATTTTGTTTTGAATTATGGATAATAAAATAAATTGACTACGCTAACTAATATGGTAATAAGTAATTAATATGGAATATTTGTAAGTGACTACAATTATCAGTTACTCAATACGTTATATTAAATAAATACATATATTAAATGAATCGTACAATCTACCAGCTTTTTATATAAAGTCATTCGCCTCATAGTAGATGTTCATAAGACGTCATGACCTTCACAATGATGTCAATATACCAACAATCTTTACTGAAATAATGAATGATTGTCAAATCTCAATAGGGAAAACTTCACCAACAAACAAATGTAGAAACTAATGA